CCTCACTCTTACAAATGGCTTACTTTCCATTTTAAATGTAGTTTTTATTTTCATCAAAGTTTACAGGGTTTGAACAAAGAACAACATAACAGAAAAAGTCAGACAGCATGTATATTCCTGACAGAGACAAGGTTACAGCCATTGTCAGTTATAACCTTGTAATACTTATCGGGGTAGTAGCCTCCATGTGAGATAAGCCCTTGAAAACAGATATAGACTTGACGGTAAAAAGAAAAGTAAAAGAGGAAAGAATAAAGGAATTGAAAAGAGATGAGGAGAGGAGACGGAAGGAGAGAGGGCATGAACGTCCTACTTTAGGTTCCATGTAAACATTAAAGGAGAACTCTGCGGGTAACTTTTTATCCCATAGTTCTCTAAAGGGTCAAAGGAGGACACATACCAACATCCTCCCATGACACAAAGCTCAGTATATAGCTTGCTATATACTGAGAGCGCCACAGCCGGGACAGATCCCGACAATACTGTCGAGATCCACCCAGCTGGCTGGCCGTCACTGCTCTCTGCAGGCGGAGGATCGGGAAGTGAGCGAGCGACGGTACGTGTTCACTCACCTCCCGATAGATAGAGCCGACGTGTGACAGTTTCCTTGTCAAACGTCGGCTCTAACTATGAGGATGAGTGGAAATCACTCACCTCATAGTTCTACGTTAAATATGTTTAAAAGAAAAAATTTAAATAGCTGTTGCTATAATGATCACATTACGCCTTCCTGGTTTCCTGCCTAGGCCAAAGTGACATAGCTTCTTCTCTGTCTGCAGCCTCCTGGGATGCACATTACACATCCCAGAAGACTGCAGAGTGCCTAAATCTGACGAGATACAACGCCTGCATAGAGGACACCATGGCAGCCAATACTAGAAGCAGCTAGACCTCATTCTGCGTATATGCGTCATCAAGGGGCCACCTGCAAAAACCAGCAAGTGACAGTTGGCTACCAAATCCAAGATGGCGGCACAGACTCTAAATAATGCTGGCAAAACTGCAGCAGTGAGGAAGACGTCGCTGGACTCTGATGACTTGTAAGTATGTATTTTTTTCTTATTGTCATATGTTATTAGTTATTTCTGCGTCTGATCTGAACTTCTCAATCCAGGTGGAAGGTCTTCTTGTCACACTGCCAACCAAAGCATCGGTTTCTTACAGACATCAAATCTCTCCTATTCTATCGGTTCACTAAGAGAAAAACAAACCTGGCAAAAATGTTAACTCTCCCCACCCTATCCAAAACTTAAAAATATACATTGCTGCTTTTATTTGATTTTGTTATACTTACCTTTTTTCAAAGACCTTGGGCTGGTCACATGACACAGTGGGTGCTTTTCCTTTGGCGATTGGCAGCCCTTAAAGCCTTGGTTCTCAACTGGTGGGTCGTGATCCAAGAGTGGGTCGCGACGCCGTCTTTACTGGGTCACCGCATGCCTTCCAATTTTCTAGTTGAGAGGCTCCTCTGCCTCCCCCTAGTGCAGCACTGTCAGTTCTCGCGCCAAGCAGCCATTCAAAATATGCTGCCCGGCGCAGAGTGTCATCTTGAGGTGGGATGAGGCTATGGACGCAAGGGAGCTCCAGCCATACGTGCATTGCTTACAGCTCCCTAGCATGTCCTGTAGCGGTGCCTGGACCAGACGGACATCACATTATATCTCCCGGCACCTCTACAAGACACGTAAGAGAGTTGTGGAAGCAATGCACCTATGGATCGAACTCCATCACAGCACAGCAGCCCACACTGGATCCCAGGCTGAGGATCCACTCCAGTTCTTGTAGGGTAGGGAGACTGGGTGGACCATAAAAAAAAGTCACATTTTTTGGAGGGTGTGTGTGTGTGAGAATGCCTGTGAGTGGGTCTGCGGTTGTGCATGTAATTCAGTGTTTTTGAGGGCCCGGTCACGCACGATTAACGCACTGTACCACAGAATCGCACCTACCGTACATTCTGGTATGGGAGATTTGTTGTGTTGCCATTCATTTGAATGGTACCCCAAACGCACCTCCCACCCGCAGTTTGTGCGGCCGCACCAGAACACGCGGTACCCTAATGCTGTGCGTTCCATTGCAGTGCGACTTGGGTCGCGACCTAAAACTGGAACAGACAAAATCAGGAGCAGTTAACCATAGTACCCAATCAGCTTCTCTCTTCCATTTGTTCAGTTAATATTTGAAAATGAAAGAGAGAAGCTGATTGGTTGCCATGAACAGCTGCTCCAGTTTTGATAAATTCCCCCATCTGTGTTTAAGATAGTGCATACGCATGTAAACTGTGGAATTTCCATACATACTGGCGTCTTCAATTTGTATAGGTTGGCTATACGCTGCTCCTGTCACTTGTGGACAGAGAAATATGGCGGGATATATGCTGTATGACACGCTTGCGGCTGTGTGCGCATGTATGATTACATGCAGACTGCTGCTTACAGATGTGCCTGCTGTCGCCCACTCATTACCTTCAATGGGTACAGCGGCCGCATCTGAATGGGGGACACCTGGGTTCTTGCTGTGGGAATGCCAGATCACACCATGTGAATGAGTCTGAATTATACCATTAGCAATTATTCTATGCGTTTAGAAATGTCCTACAAACCCATGTATGTCAGTGGTTGTGTGAAAGAGGCCTAAAGAGCTCTTCACAGGTTCTGGAACTACAAGTTCCACAATGCCCTGCTAGAACTAGGACTTCAGTGCAATTGAAGACACAGACTGCCCCCTCTCCTTCACGGGGAGAGCAGTAGAATCACGTGAGATGGTAACATTCCATCACTCACCTCCGATCACCTGAACATTTCCAACACACACCACCGATCAACTTCAACAACGCCAGTGAAAGGTACGGAAGCCGATAGAGCCATACTACGTCGGGGTATGGCGACCCACAAGGCTCAAAATTCATTGCTTCGCGCGAAGCCTCCTCCTTCTCCCCCTTGTTGTGGGCGTGGAAAAGAAACTTGGCAGAAGAGCTGTGCAGACAACTTGTGAGAGCTCACAGTGTAGTGGTAATCGGACCCCGGGCTGCCAGGGAGAAGTGGCTGGGCGCCCGCCCAGGACCTGTGTTTAGGTGAGTGCCATCTCCTTCACATCGCTTTCCAGGGTTACAGCTCAGCACTGGCTTATTGCGAGGCTACCCAGTGCGCTCTTTTCCTGTCACAAGCCATGTGTACTTGTTGAAGTACACACCGCTCTATGCATGCCCTGCTTACTGAGGTCCCATTGGCAGATAGTGCACCTTATGACATACAGGAGTATAGCGCTACTGACAGTGAGACTGGGGGATCGGGGGGAATGAGTTACGATCACAAGAACTGTCACGTGATGTGTTGGCGCGTGGAGGCGGGAGAGCTGTGTAGGCTGGGTGACGATATTTCGTACAGCTCTCCCATATGGTCTAGCGGTTAGGATTCCTGGTTTTCACCCAGGCGGCCCGGGTTCGACTCCCGGTATGGGAAGGTAAATTTTTTTTTTTACATTATTATTATTTTAATAATTATATAAAGAACAATACATGGAAGAGAGTGCCGTGAAAGCAAGGAAACATAACATTGCCTACTCTCACGTCGCTAGCATTCCCTTATATGCAAATCATTGAAGCCATTTTATGTCAGGGCTTTCTAAAGTATACAGCACTGCAGAGGCTGTCTGTAAAAGGTTTTATTCAGGAAAAAAAAGTTAAAATCCCCAAAAACAGACCTACAATTGTGTATGCATATGAACAAACTATTACAACCAAAAAGGTATGCCTTTATAGTGGTTATCATTTCTCACATGTGAACTATAAATTGTGTTGACGCGCTTCAGGGATGAGTGTGCTTCAGAGCTGGATAGAGATAAATGTGTTGACACTTTGCAAAAACTCTGTGGTACAGACTCAACATCTAGGGTGAAGATATATCATAAGAGCACCAAGATTTGAGGAATAATACACTGACTCTTGTGTTTAGATCAGTGGTTCTCAACCCGTGTAACCTCACGACCCACATTTGTCCTTGGTCATTAAGTCACGACCCAAGTTACACTGCAATGGAACACATGGCATTGCGGTACTGTGCTTTCCGGTTCGGGCGATTGAACTGTGGGTGGGAGGTGTGTTTGGGGTGCCATTCAAAGGAATGGCAATGCAACGCACCTCCCACACCAGAACGCATAGTAGGTGGAATTGCGTGGTACAGTGCGTTAATCGCATGGGACTGCAATTAACGCACTGTAGTAGTGTGAATGGGCCTTCAAAAACACTGACAGACACACACAACCACAAACATTAGAGCTGCAGCTAACGATTATTTTCAAAATCGATTAGTAAACATAATTCATTTTTTTAAATATTTTTTTTAAGATCCACCCAGTCTCCTTACCTTACGGAAACTGGAGTGGATCCTCAGCTTGGGGTCCAGTGTGGGCTGCTGTGCTGTGATGGACCTCCATCCATATCTGCATTGCTTGTACAGCTCCCATTCGCACCCGTAGAGGTGACAGGAGCCAGAATGTGACATCACTCCGGTCCAGGCACCTCTACAGGACACGTGAGGGAGAGGATGGAGCTCCCTCGTGGCCATCGCCCCATCCCACCCCACCTATATTTTGAATGGCTGCTCGGTGTGCGAACTGACAGTGCTGCGCTAGGGGGAGGCAGAGAAGCCTCTCGCATAGAAAAGTGGAAGGCATGCGGCGACCCACTGGACACAGGGTCGTCACCTACTTTTGGGTCACGACCCACCAGTTGAGAACCAAGGGTTTGGAGAATATTTATTGACCCTGGAGATCCGTTTTAACAGTCTGTTTTATGGGAAAGCCCCACTCCACCCAAAGCATTTTATTTTGCTTTTTTTAGAACGTGGAAGACTTAGGAGGGAATGTGTCAAAACTGGAGCAGACACAATCTGCAACCAATCAGCTTCGCTGTCTCATTTTCAACTCTTACCTGAGCACACTGAAGAAAGATGCTGATTGGTTGCCATGGGAAAGTGCTCCAGATTCTCTGTGCTCCAGTTTTGATAAATTCCCCCCTTTAGAATCTCTGCCAGGTTTTTATTGCTGTCTTTGACTTCCAAGTGTCAGGAAATGTTTTCAATGGAAGCACAAAGAAAACCACATTTCCAGTTTAGTAGGAAAGTGTTAGAAATTCTGACCACATTCTGTTTCTAACGCTTTCTGTATCTTCCTGACCCAGTGACAACCAGCAACCCTATTCTTGTATGGGTGTCACAGGAAGGGAGGGAAACTGAACTGTAAATGAAGTTGCCAGCTCTAGGGCTGCAACAACTAATCGACATAATCGATTATAATCGATTATTGAAAAAGTTGGCAACTTTTTCAATAATCGATTAATCGGCTTCCGATCAGTTGGCCCTGTTCATGGGCCCACAAACGCTGCGCGCCGCACCTCCTCCCCAACTCACGCTCACTGGGCTTTATTGTAGAAGTGACCTAGATGGATGTAGTCTAGGATAATGCTGGGCTTTGGTGTGACCCATTTTGCCTGCTCGTGGTCCAGGTCCCGATGGAGCCATACATTGCTCCAACTTGCTTGAGTCCCACTGAGAGAAATATGACCAGTGTCAAGGCAACTCTGTGTGCTTTTCAGCCACGACTATGCGCTGATACGCCAGCAGCATTCCAAGCCAAGTCCCCGCTCCTTCTCCAGTGGCTTTGCTGAGACAGAACTGTGGCTAGGTGTAGAAATGGGATGATTCTATTGTACGTTGTGTGGTTCCCGACTGATAGTTTAAGGAAGCAGTACAGAGGCATTTAAAGTGGAAGTGAAGCTTTAAAAAGAATGGGTTTTTACGACAGAAGAGGGAAATCGTTATCAAAACTGGAGCAGTTGTCCATAGTAACCAATCAGCTTCTATCTTTCATTTTCAAAGCTTAACGGAACAAATAAAAACGTTTTCAAATTCCCCTCTGTATGTCTCTTCTGTAATAATTGGTGCCTGCCAGTGTTTGTGTACGCTGAGCCACCCATGGGCATCTCGATGCACAAGCTTGGCAAGGTCCTGTGCCGAAATGAAATAAGTCCTGTGCGTTAAATTATCCCGACACGGCCAATCAAGAGGACGAAGATGCTGAAGCAGTGGAGGGGAGCATGGACAGCGCTGGAGGGGGGTCACCTGCAAGGTAATGTTGGCCAAGCACTGCTTAGATTTTCAGAAGAATTTATGTACAAAAGAACATGCGTTCAACTTTCTATTAGTTGATTGGGTAAAATTGATCATCAATTCTACCCCATCTAAGGAGCAGGATGGAACAAATGAAATTCTAACAGTGAATGTGGTCTTGGTTCGGGAAACTCCATTTATTTCAAAACTGAAGTTAAAATTAGGGATGCACCAATACCACCAATACCGGTGTCGGTGCCGATACTGGGCGATTTCATGAGTATTTGATGCTAAAACGCCAATACGGGCTCTTTAAATGTTTATTTATTTTTTTATAAATTCTTAATTTTTTCCGATTTCAAAAGTTTACACAATACGTAAGGGCAGTGCAGAAAAGTATTCAGGTTACATTCTTTGCATATAGGTTCCAACAAAGTCAATTCAGTGCTATCAGAACACATTATTAACCATGCAGGCACCAAAAGAAATAAGGAATAAATAAAACAAAAATAAAAAGGGAACAGCAGCATTCTAGCTCATATGATAAAACTGAGAGAAGAGACTCAGTTCGCGGGCTACCCATACTGTCGTTTGGAACGTCTATTAAACGTGGCACCCCACATGTAATATAAGAAAGAATTATAAATCAAGAGACACGCGAGTATGGGGAGCCAACTTATATCTCGAAATATTGGATAGGTAAAAGGGGTGGGAAATGAGGAAAGAGTATTTTGTTAACAGTTGACAAGAAAGCATGCAGTCTAGATGTAAGGAGTGAGAAAAAATGTTTAGACTGAAGCGGCTGCCTGAGGTCCTTGCTGGGGACCTTGACAGCCTTCCTGTGAACCACACGGTGCCTGTTTACAGTGCCGGCTCACACATCTCCTCATTCCTGGAGAATGACCCGCACCTGCCCGCTACCCGCACCTGCCCAAGAGACCCTCCAGGACTCCTGGTGAGACCCCGCACAGCCCCCATGAGACCCTGCAAAGCCCTCCTGAGAACCTCCACTAAAGACATCAGACTGGCACCTCGGAGGAAGATAAAGTATGTAGCTTCATATTACTCTGCATTGCTGTATAATGTATTGCTGGCATTTCTAGTCCTCTATAGCTGGTTGTCAATCAGCATTGCTATATAATGTATTGCTGGGATTTGTAGTCCGCTATAGATGATGGTATTCTGCATTGCTGTATAACACATTGCTGGGATTTGTAGTTCCGGTGGTAAAACTACCAGGGTCGCAGCGTTTGCAGCTGTGACTGGGCCCTGGCGCTCCACCACTGTCCTAAAATCATTAGTCTGTATTGTTTTAGATAAACTGTCACATGACACTAAAAATAGGAATCGGTAATTGGTATCAGCGAGTACTTGAGGAAACGTATCAGTACTCAACCTTGAAAAAATGGTATCGGTGCATCCCTAAGTAAAATAAAACAACATTTTGATTGACAATCATCTAGTGTCTGATGGCATTATCAGGTGATAAAGAAAGATCTTTCGTATGAATGTTTGTGTGGAAATCTACTAGTGTATGGCCAGTATGTTCTCATATGCCGTGCATGTCAGCACACTATGACGCCCGCTCAGATCTAGAGACCTCTCGGCCGGCCGTTTTTTTTACAACGGCTGGCCCTGAGGTGGTTAAGGATGCATTTAGGCACAACACATTGAAGGGGATTTATCAAAACGGGAGCAGACAAAATGTGGAGCAGCTGTGCACAGCAACCAATCGGCATCCACCTTTCAATTTTAAATCTTAACTGAACAAG